ATGGGTCCTGGTAAGAAATTTTCTTTTTATTTCAGAACAGTAAATGATTGGTTAAGGATATGACACCGACTTAAATTGGTGATTATCTCGATTGGCTAATGCTAAGAAAATGTTTGAATCCTGGCTGATCGTTGATTAAATCCTTCCCCTCGACTCTGCTATTTAGCAGTGTATGCTTTTGGGACAAGCTCATCGAAGACCTACGTAAAACGATTGAGAACGAATTTCGCCAATTTGCCCTTTATTCGCTATTTGTTTCAGCCCCCTCGAATTGGAAGAATATTTCGCGCTTTCCGCCATGTTTAAAACAATGTCTTCGTCGCAACGTGACGTAACCAGGAAAACTTAATATTTCAATTTTATATTTCACGTAGGCCTACATGATGGTGTGGCCGGTAAGCCAAGCAATTTTACCATAAATACCCGCGATGCTGGTTATGGAGGACTCGGTCTATCAATTGAGGGACCCTCAAAGGCGCAGATCACATGTTTGGATAACGAAGATGGAACGTGTACAGTGGAATACTTACCTGTTGAACCCGGCAAGTACACCATCAATGTGAAGTTTGCCGACGAAGATGTTCCTGGAAGTCCCTTCACTTCAAATGTCAGACCCTCAGGCGATGAAATCCAACCAGTTGAAGAGAACCTGGTAAGCAAATGAGAATTGACTTCGAATTTCATATTTCAGACGAAATTTTGGCAGTATTGTAGGTTTGGTGAATTAGCTGAGACTGCTCCATAGAACAATTTTCCATTGAGTGGAGAGTTTTACTGTGCTCTGTGCTTTGTATGAAAAACTTTCGCAGCGATCTTCCTTAGTAGAGGAAGTGATTAGTCCAGAAAACTTGCGTCACTATCTGAACCAATCAGATTCGAAACTTAAATACAAATCGCGAGTTAGTCACGTTTTCCCGCGCTTTATAGGAGATTCAATGGAATGTAAACATTACTGGTAGCTGCGAAGTTAATTTGCAAAGGACTCTCGCGCTCAATAGACTGCTTCGAGGGGAAGATTAAAAAAAAAAAGGATAAAAAAAACACCGAAAACGAAAAATCTGTTTCAAATCGCACCACAAAAATCGATTCTAGTGGTCTTTATCGCACGTTCTCTCTTTGGAGAGTTTGATGTAGCAAGGGTTATGCAGTTCATTTCGTGGCTCTCGAGTTTTGACCATCATCTGCTTCGTTATTTTACAGGTGAGCTCAGCTGTATCTGACCAGTTCTCTGAACCAACCCAGCGAGTGTCCGAAGTGTTTGAAGATCTTGTGACGTTCGGTTCCACTCCAGCACAGCCTCATGACTTCGTCTTTGATCTGAAGGGTTACAAGATAGACGATCTTGAGACGATGGTTATTAGCCCTGATGGAACGGAGCTCGATTCCGAGATAATTGAAACGTCACCGAAGACATATACAATCCGCTTTGTGCCTAAAGAGAGCGGAGAACATACCATCTATGTCCGATTCAAGAGTGGAAGAAAGAAGGATATACCCGGAAGTCCTTTCAAGGTCTTTGTGGAGGCACCTGTGTGGGGTGGGGCTGCAAAATGTGTGGCTGCAGGACCCGGGCTCGAACGAGGTGTGGTTAACCATCCGGGAGAGTTTACAGTGTGGACACGTGATGCTGGTCCAGGAGGCCTTGCGATCGCAGTTGAAGGTCCTGCTAAGTCGGAGATTAAATGCACAGACAATGGTGATGGGTCTTGCAATATTTCCTACCTGCCAACTACTCCAGGCGAGTACACAATCCACATCCGGTTTGCTGATGAGGATATCCCTGGAAGTCCATTCAAGACTAATGTATCACCGGAAGTAGAAGATCGCTTTAGAGATCTCAATGTTACCGATCTTGCTGAGAGTGGATTGAAAGTAAACCAGCCTGCTTCGTTCTCCGTGCAGACTAATGCTTCTGTTGGCGACGTGAAGGCGTCTGTCGTGGCACCCTCAGGGGATGAGAAAGAAGCTCAAGTGTCTAACCTCGGTGGTGGAAACTTCGCCATTCGTTTCACCCCAAGAGAATTTGGCGACCATCTTGTGAATGTCCGTTTTGATGGATCTCACATTCCCGGCAGCCCCTTTAAGATCAGAGTAGGCGGTGCGGAAGGACACCCAGAAAAAGTCAAGGCTTATGGTGAAGGTTTAAGCAAGGGTAGGGTCGGTGAAGCAGCCGAATTTACCGTCAACGCCCTGGAGGCCGGCTCGGGTGCTCTTGCCCTTTCTGTGGACGGCCCCGCTAAGGTGAAGATGAACTGCAGTGAAAATGCTGATGGTACCTACCAAGTAACGTACAACCCAGTCATAGCAGGCGAGTACACGATTAGAATCAAATTCGCAGGCCAAGATATCCCTGGTAGCCCTTATAATGTAACGATTAGCCCCTCCGATGGCAGATACGTCAGCGACGGAGACGCCTCCAAGTGCACTTCTCGAGGAACTGGCCTGCATAGTGCTGTTCTCGGGCAGCCCAACTCGTTTACAGTTAACGCCAGCAATGCAGGACGAGGATCCCTGATGGTGGGGGTTGAAGGCCCTGCCATACCAGCGAAAGAAATCAATGTCAAACACACAGGAAGCAACGTATACGCGGTCAACTACGCCCTGGAGGAGCCTGGTGCCTACATCCTGAAGGTCCTCTGGGCTGACAAGCATATCCCCGGAAGTCCCTTCCAAGTAACTGTTTGAACGCACGAGACTCGCGTGTAAGCGTGTCAAATGTCAGGACCTATAGCTAGTCTTGTATTTAAGGAGCTAAAAAATTGAAGAAGAAACTATTTTCGTGGACTGGAAGGTTGCACCTCGATAGTTTTAATCGTCTTTCGCAAGAACAACAATGCTAGTTTTCTATATATTAAAATTTTTTCAGAACTTCCTTTTCTATCAATTGTTGAAAATATAAAATTAATAGACGGAATAGTTGAAGGTCGAAGTTGTAGCTGTCTTAATCTGAAATCCAATCACAGTATGGCAAACGTGGGTAAAATAGGTAGCAGAAATTAAGGAGCACTGCAAATCGTGGTTACCATGGTTATTGTAATGACTAAGGGTAACAGGCAGGCTTAGAGCCTTTATGTCTCTGTATTCAGTTGTTTGTGAGTTTTTTAAAGTGAGAACTGTTTATGACTAAGGGATATTTTCTAACAACTAATAATAAATTGCTTAAACAAGTCTTTGTCTGAGTGTATTGTATTTGAATGCACAGGCCTCTGAGTTAAAGTGCCAGTGAAGGTCTCTGGTTAATTCTCAGATGTGATTTTTTTTTTAGAAATGTTGAAAAAATATATATCTGCAAGCTATATCTTTCTTGGGGCAAGTCGTTTAGTTGGTCGTCAGAACAGAAATGCTGAACTTTCCCTTACTAGAAAAATGTATCGATATTTCAAAGGGGTGTAAGTTTTTAGAGAAACTGTGATGCTGCGTCGGTAGGGAAGGGGGGGTGGGGTGGGGGTATGACGCGATATTTTGGTTTTACCGAATGAGTAAGGGGTTTCGAAATAGACATTTCGCAATTTAACTCATTGTAAGAGGCCTCGCTTCGTTCTGACGAAGGACTGACGCTCGTAACGTCAGCTTTAGGAATTTTTTAAGGTTGTCAATTTACATTATCAACTCAGTTGATGAAACGAAATTATCTCATCCATTTATTTCCGACTTCATTAACAAAACAGTTCCTTGAACATCGTTCTCCTTTTCTGTTAGTTAAACTGAACATCACGTAGTATAGAGGACCTTGGAAGGAACTACTGTTTATAAGGTTGATATGTCGGTGTCTTCCTGTCAAAGGATCGAAACTGACTAATCACAACTTACGAACGCTTCGTGAGTCTTGAAACCGATGAAATCACAGCAAAACTCATCAATCAGTTTTTACGAACCTGATCAGATATTTCAACAGGCAAATAACTCTTTCCCCTCCTATACCTCTCATCCAGGTGATTACACAACTCAAATGTAAATGTGCTATTCATGCTAGAATAGGCTAAATTTAAGATGCTAGAATTAACAGATTAAAAATTCTAACGATTCGAGGCATCCTCTGTAGGCGAGACCTCCGTATTGTATGAAAATTTTGAAACTCGAAGTTGGATACGTTTATACAGTAACTGTTTCCAGTATGCGTAAAAGAGCATCGGTTGTAGAGCATCGAAATGTCGGAGGTTCGACTCCTATTCGGAGCACTCAGAGTTCTTTTTGTCCGAGTACACCGCCTCTTGCCATTTACCGAATAATATCATCTTTTATTAAGTTAAAAAAAGCGATACAAAGGAAAAAACGCTTTTGGTCGTTGCAGGGTTAATTAAATTTTCTACTTTCCTCTTACGGCAGTCATTCGAGGGCTTCGTCTATTTCCAATTCAAATTTCTTACCACTAAAATATCAAGTGTAACAGAAACGCGTGATAGGTTCAAATGTTTTACTATTTCGTGTGAATTTCCAAGGACGGTGGAGGTCACAGAACTGTACCGTGCTCGTTACATTTCATCGCATTATTTCTGAACAATAGCCACACACATGCCGCTGATGGAGTGCTGGGTTTACGCGAGGGCGGCTTCGAATTGAAGAAATACGGCGTCCTGATTTAGTAGGTTTTTGACCCAATTTATCTTAGAATTTGTTTGATAATTCGGTTCCCCCTTCCGATATATTTCATTTTAAATTAGTAAAGAGAATTTGGTACTCTATCAGGATTGAACTCTCTAATGAACTGCTGATAATGATCATCTTGGTTTGTTTTGGTTACCTCTTCTGTAAGATGTGTTGAACTGAGACGTTTATTGACGTCTAGATACTCTGTGGTATACACTATAGAGCTATAGAACTACAGTGCAATAGTTGAAGGAGAACAGTTTTGTTGGTTGTCTTCCCCTTATGGGAGAGAAGGTACGAAAGTGGCAATGCTGAGAAACTGAAACTACGTTCTTTTAATCAGCGGTTGCCCTCCGTTAGCTACATTGTTCATATATGATTAGTGTAATGTACCGCGTCAAATGAGCAAGCCATCATACCAATATTAGTCAGAGCAGTTCCTTGTTTACCTTCATCAAACGTGTTTTTCACAAGTTCGCTGCGAGTGTAATAATTTTTTTTTAACAGAACGTGTGCACCATGATTGCTTCATCATCCGACGAAGACGATGTTGATGAGGCTGGCGATGTTGACGAACATGCACAAGAACTTCTCAGTATTTACCAAAGAAGCGAGCAGACATACTCTACGACTACGGCTCCTTCGCCCAGCGTAAGTCCTTCTCTGCACACGCCGAGCCCTACACTCTCCGTTGTATCAGATGCCACATTACAGGAGCAACAAGAAGACGATGAAAGAAGAGAGAGACTGCAGTTGTATATTTTCGTTCTGCGCTGCATCGCTTATCCATTCAACGCCCGACAGCCAACAGATTTGGCACGAAGACATGCACGGGTTAGCAAACAAGACCTTGTGAAAATAAAACAACGATTTGAAGATTTCCTCAAAGGTGACACAAAAATTGCTTCTGATGAGGCGTTTTATAACGCAGTAAGAGCCTACTTCGATATATTTATTTGCAGCGAGAGAGTGCAAAAGATGGTAATCAGTGGCGGGTGTTCGTCGAATGATTTTCGTGAGGTTTTCAAGGCCATGATCGAGAAACGCGTGCGAAGTCTTCCTGAAATAGACGGTATTAGCAAAGAAACTGTGCTAAGCTCTTGGATGGCGAAAAACGATGCCATTTTTCGTGGAGAAGATGATCCAAAAAAGGGCCCAAGAATTGCGGCCTCGGCAGCATCTGAACTGATTTTGTCAAAAGAGCAACTCTATGAAATGTTTCAAACCATTTTGGGCGTCAAAAAATACGAACACCAAATATTGTTCAATGCCTGTCAGGTAATCTTAAGTTCTGGATAATTAATGGTTTACTAGTTTCATAATTGGACGTCTTTTTTTCATTGTTAGTTTTTGTCATAATTTATTTGTCTATTTATTTTACGAGTGGATTTGCTTATGTACTTCGAGTGTAGTAATTTTAAGGACGCGTACAAACAGGATTAATAACTCAGACATCCACATATTTTCTATAACGACATCTGCCGTTTTTTATGGTAATTTATGGACTCACTGATAAATTCTGTCTTATCAGTAAAGCGTTTTGAAACTGCTTTGATGTGAAATTATCATTACTGATTCGATTCAATTCCGCTGTGAACGCAACTAAAATTTTGGTCAGCTGAAATGTTTGCCTCAGAGTATAAAATAGATTTGAGACGGACAAAATTAAAATTTTAAAATTGTGAAGAGTCAAAAATAACATTTATATTTCAGACGCATGATTTTTGCATAAATTTACAGCATCACTATTAAGACAATTCGCCTAGTGAGGAAGTGTTAAAGACAATCGCCTAATGAGAAAGTTTTATTGACAGAATAGAAAACTTTTTGATACGAAATATGTTACTTGAGATAAATCTACTTTTAAATTTTTTATATGTTTTTCTTTTTCAAATCACATAAGGTCAATGTTGATGTAAGCAGATCTTGACATACCCAGTGAAATTTGTAAATTAAAAACTTAAAACATGAATCTTGTGAACAAGCTCCAGCTGATATTAACTGATCACGTTCAGATGAAAATTAAATTTGTACTATACTCCTTGCACAAGTATAAGCCATTCTTATTTTTTGCCAGCCATTTGAGTAAGCTGTAGATGGAAATAAGTTGAAGAAATTTATCATTCCATTATTCTAAGTTTTTTTATTAATTTGTTTTTAAATCATATAATTATGAATTTTTCAGCTTGACAGTGCTGATGAACAAGCTGCATGTATTCGTCGAGAACTGCATGGAAGATGTAAAGCAATTATAAACCAGAGGAAGGTATATTTTTTCCCCTTTTTTTTATCATATTTTATGTATCTATTTTTTGTTTCAATGTTATCTGAACTTCAGTTTTTATTTGCCTTAATTTGGTTTTATCTTCCTCTTTGTTTACAAGTCATTACACAACCAAAGTCCTCCCTACATTAAAGATCTTTTGTCCCTGAAACCAGCTACTAATTATGCTCGTCGCTCATCTGCTCAATCTCTTCTGTTCATTCCAAAAGCCAACTGCTCTTCACTTGGGGACGGGGCCTTTGCTCATGCTGCACCTGTTTTATGGAACTCACTGCTATTAACTATAAGAACAAGTAGTAGCTGTGCCATTTTTAAAAAGCAACTTAAAACATTTCTATTTAGGAAAGCTTTCAGTTTGTTTCAATAGTTCTAATGTTTATTGCCTTTGAATATTTTAATTTTAATTAGTATAGAACGTTAACTTATGTAAAGCGCTTCTGAATATTGTTTATAGTTTAAGTGCTATATAAATCCCTTATCATTATCATTATTATCAATTTAGTTGATAAATAAATGTAAATGTGCACCTGGAAATTGTTTCGAAAGCTGACTTTTTGAACAATAGCCCTTAGATAGAGCTTAAAATGTCAGCTTTTAAAAAACCTTGGCCAATTTACATTATCAACTCAAGTTATCTTACACCCTCTAATAAGCCCTCTCTCTAATAAACCCTCTCTCTGACAAGCCCTCCCTCTGATAAGCCCTCTCTCTGATAAGCCCTCTCTCTAATAAGCCTCTCTCTAATAAGCCCTCTCTCTACTAAATCCTCTCTCTGATAAGCCCTCTCTCTAATAAACCCTCTCTCTGATAAGCCCTCCCTCTGATAAGCCTCTCTCTAATAAGCCCTCTCTCTACTAAATCCTCTCTCTGATAAGCCCTCTCTCTAATAAACCCTCTCTCTGATAAGCCCTCTCTCTGATAAGCCCTCTCTCTGATAAGCCTTCTCTCTGATAAGCCTTCTCTCTGATAAGTCCTCCTATGAAGTGAGCCCTCCTCTAAGAGACCCTTTATCTCAAATAACCATTTCCTCTTTCCCTCTCTAATAAACCCTCCCAAAATACTTTTGTCTCATAGCATCTCTCTGTAAAATGTGTAACAGGTGTCAGATCCCATTAACCTGACAGTTATTTTATTGGCAGCGTCTGCCAGGCTTTATACACAAAGACATGGAGACTCTGTTTGTTGAGGAACAGCAGGCTGCTATCAGTCAACTGATGGGAAACTTGGAGAGTCAACCAGTGACAAAAGGTTTATCAGACTCCAAGATTTCCATGCCATTTACCAGAATCAAAGGGTGAGTAGCACCTTGGCCGTGATGGTCTCATTCTTCTCCCCTATTTTTCAATGAAAAAAAGTGGGTATTTATTTGTTGATTTTATCACCAGACCCCAGCACACAATCTCCATGGTTGAAGTTGCTGTTGATGATGTGGATTCAGTGCTATCAAAGTCTGATGTCATGTTGAATTTCACTATTGAGGTAAAAAGTGAATAGGATGTTGACAGATTACAGAGCACTGAATTAGTGTACATATGTAGCTATGTCCTATTATCTTTTGGACAGAGAGAGAGCAGGGAGATCTTGTTGCATTATACCAATGTAAAGGTGATTTCAATAAAGGCTCTAGATGGCTCCTTGTGTTTTGCTATAGGTGATGGTTCCTTTCTGCAAGCCATTAAAGAGAATTTTACTTTATGTCCAGCAATAAAATGGCTAAAGTTGCATGCTTTGCATGCTAACGAGAGGGAAACTATAAAAATTTATTATTGTGATATAGATGTGGTAAGAGAGAAGAAATATAAAATTTTTGGAAATAAATTGTAGGCTCAGCATTTCAAAATTTTCCTTGAATGAGTCAAATGAATACTGTTTCTGGATATCAAAAGGCTTTGACACAAATAAAATTCCCCTAAAATTTCATTCTTGGGCACCAATTTTAATTTGTCCTTTTGTAAAGATTTTTCAGTCGCTTGCTGTTAAATTGTTAAGGTAAGGTCTAAACATCCCACAGCCTTTTATCCTTAATGTCTAAATCTGCTTGATGTTTGAATCTCCCAGAAGTAAGCATTTACAGCATTTGTCAGCCACTTTTGTCTTGAAGCCATCTGATGATTGTTGTTGTTTTATTTCCAGGTGGTTGTGATAGAGGCCAAAGGACTGAAGTCTCTTTCACCAGTGAAAATTGTTTACTGTACTATGGAGGTAAAACACAGAGCATTTCTGGTCAATTTTATTACTTTACAGAGATGTTAACCCTGTAAACCCTAACATGAGTATACATATTTTTCACACTGTTCTTTATACATTTCCTAAGGTGCTGATAAGGAGAATTTGTTTGCCAATCAAGAGGTTCCTTCTCTGATGACCATTTCCTTTATTCTCATGATATTAATGTGTGATTCAGTTCCACCTTTTTACACAGAATACATGTCAATCTATATGCAATTTATATAATAAGTTCAGTTATGCACGCATTCTGATTGGTTCTCACTTATGATCTATTCGAGGACAGACATATAGATGGCATCATCATTAAAACTTTTTTCCCTCATATTTTAATTCTTTATTATATAAAACAAATAGATTCCAAATTGCTGTGCATCTGTTCAGTAATAGGTCACAGAGGACGTCAAAATGTGGTAAGAACATCAGTGACACACTCAACTGCACCTCATGTGCCACTTTTTTGTTCTTACCACATTTTGACGTCATCTGTGATCTATTAATGAACAGATGCACAGCAACTTGGAATCTATTTGTTAAATGGATACACATTGCAATAATATGAAATAACATTGAGTAATCTTTCTATTTTACACCAAGGTGGAAGGTGGAGAGAAATTTCAAACTGAATATGTGGAAGCAAGCAAACCTTTGTAAGTAAAACAAGACAATTTGGTTTTATCAACTGAGTTGATAATGTAAATATGCTGCCATTGTGAGTTTCTTAGCTGATGTTTCAAGCATTAGCACTTTATCTGAGAGCTCATGGAGGAAGGTGTAGGTACAAATTGAGTGAAGGAGCATATTTTAACCATTTCAATCCTCGGAGCGACTAGCATCTAATTTCTTGTCATGATATCACCTCTTCCTGACGTACCCTGCTTATTTGAGGGTTTCTCTTAATCAACCATTACTTCTTGTTATCAGATTGTATGTGGGTACAATTTATTCCATTTGCCCCGTAGTCTAACAAAACATCTTGAGGTTTCATTTGAATTTTATCAATTTCACAATAATTTATCTCATAAGGGGATTCCCCCTAAGCACTTTCAGAATAGTTTATTCTCAAGGGAATCCCCCTTGAGCACTTTTGCAATATTTTATCTCATGAGGGGAATCTCCCCACTATTTTTGTCTCATCAGTAATTGATCTCTAATAACTATGAAAGCTTGTGTTTTTGATATAGCTGGGACTCTCAAGGTGATTTCACCACTTGTCACCCTCGACCTGTCGTAAAAGTCAAACTTTATGCTGAGAATACAGGAGTTCTGGCACTTGATGATAAAGAGCTGGGAAAGGTACACAGTATAATTTGCTAGGGAGCTTTAATTTTTATTTTATTTTTTTTACAGTTTTCGTCCCTTTTTTGCTAGTTCCTATCAAAAAGGCAATTATGATCACAGTCAATATTCTGTACTTGTAATCAAATGCGTCCAGAGGCCTGTTTTACTCTCTCAGATGAGCCAAGCCATTATTAGGTTAATATGTGAAAAGCTTTGTGCATACTGCTGGGATCCATTCTGCAATAGTTTGAAGAGAAAAGGGAAGAGTTAGAAAGTATAGAAAATTTTAAAAATTGTGCGCACTTTGTGCCCAGTGCCGTGGCTATGATATGACTCAACCTTTTATCATTTTTTCCCCTTAGGTTATTATAAAACCAATCCCTGGTGGATCAGAGCAGCCTGAACTGTATGATGTGGTGACACCCAAAGGATGGGCTGGTGACAAAATCAAATTGAAAATTGCTGTTAAGATGGATAAACCTGTGAACTTGAAAAAATGCGGGTTTGTAGTGGAATGTTATAGCCTTGTTCTAGCACGTGAATGGGCCATCATCATCAGCGCTGCAGGACGCGCGTTTCTGTGCTCGCTGAAAGATTTGGTATGAGTCGGTGAAAGGTTTACCGGAGTCGTGGAAACTCAATGCCAGACCCCTTGCAGACCTCTCGCCGGCTCACTGGCGGCGCTCAAGGCCCCATACTCTCCCGAGAAAAGAGTCGGACGTTTCGTCCTGACGAAGGGCTAACGCTCGAAACGTCAGCTTTGAAACCGTGGCCAATTTACGTTATCAACTTAGTTGATAAAACCAAATTACCCTGTCATACTCTCTCACGGACGTAGCACCACAGTTTCTTTAGAAACGTACCCTCTTCCTTCATTTGTCTTTGTTTATGGGAATGTTTCTAAAACTGCCCAATGTAATGGATATGAACTGATAATGCAAATTATTTTTTTGGTTCATTCCAGGATGATATATGTTCAAGGAAAGACTGTTTGGAAAAAGTGGAAAAAACGCTTTTTTGTACTAGTACAGGTAAGGTATCTTGTTTATTGTCTTTGAACGTAAACCTGATCACCTGGTAAACTGCAAGGTCTGGACATTTCAACACAAATGCAGTGATGCTAATGTGAGCTAAAATGTCCAGTTAATTTTTAGTGTTCGTTGGGTCTCAAGGCCGACTTTTGTTTTATCTTAGAAATAATTTTGCTAATTCTATATGGGTTTTGTCACTGAACACACAAACGTTAGACGGTTAAGTTTTTCTACCTTTTATAGGTGAGTCATTATACCTTTGCCATGTGCAGTTACCGTGAGAAGTCAGCTGAACCAACAGAGATGATGCACTTAGAGGGGTACACTGTGGATTACTGTGAAGCAGTCAGTGGTGGGTTACTCGGATAACATGTCCGATTGATTTCAATTGGTATCTCTGTTCTCAACTCATTAGTAGTGCAAATTAATAATTAAGTATTGTACAAACATGTCTCTTTTGTAGGTGAAGAGCACAAAGGTGGAAAGTTCTTCTTCAAAGCCGTAAAGGAAGGTGATCAAGTCTTGTTTGCGACTGATGAGGAACTTGAGAGACAGATCTGGGTTAATAAACTTTACACTGCTACTGGCCAATCCCACAAGCCCATCGCTCCGAATTTATCAGCCATCAGTGTCCAGCCACATGTTAGCAACACCTTGACAAGACTGCAAGGAGGTAAGATGTTGAGCAGGCTATTGCGGGTATATATTTTCAGTAATGTCGGAGTTCCCTGTTAATCTTTACACCCTAGCGTCTGTATACGTATTTTCCATACTGTTCTCTTTGCATTTCCTAAGGTGCTGACCAGGAGAATTTGTTTAACAATCAATAGTTTCTTAAGTTGGTGATCATTTCCTTTATTCTCGTGACCTTAACGTCGGTTTTTTTGTAGCTCCAGTTTACAAAATGTTTCTTTTTCACACCCAAGCTCCAACCACTTTAAAGAGCGTTTCCTAAAACGTTCTTTCGGCAATGGACGCAATTTATTCCAGATTGGTGTGGACTGAAACCGTTACGGTAGCATTTTAGCTTCTTTTGTGATGTAGACTACAAATTACTTTTTTGGTTTGGTATTTGTTGTTTTTGTTCATGTGTGTTTCTTTATTTGACTCATTAGATCATGACCGTGCTAGAAAACATGGCCTTGAGGACTTGATCCAAGCTGATCCTAGCTTTTTTAATCACCATGTTCTGTTTGAGAAGCTTCAGCTTCTCACTCTAACACACAGACTGAACGACTCCTACTCTTGTCTGGTATGGAACCTTCAAGATTTCTTTTGTAATTCTCCTTTCTAGCTTCACTACGTCAGGTTGCTCGTGAGAAATCGGTATCCTGCGTTGTAAGCCGTTGAATATTTTTGCTCGACCACGATTGGTTTAAGGGCGTCACGTGATCCGATATGCTCTAACTAAAACGGGGGACTTCGGCTATAGGTACAGGTGTTTTGTTAAGTTTGTTGAGCCACAATGCTGTGTCATTTCTTTCAGGGTTGGTTTTCCCCTGGTCAGATATTTGTGCTGGATGAGTATTGCGCTCGATATGGAGTACGTGGCTGCCACAGACAACTGTGTTACCTCAGTGACATGTTGGACAGAGCAGAGGCTGGTGTAATGATCGATCCAACCTTACTACACTACAGCTTTGCATTTTGCGCATCACATGTGCATGGGAACAGGTCTGTGTCTTTTTGAGAGATGTGTTCACTCATAACTCAATATGCGGCCCTATCTCACTTGTGAGTTCTCAGAGATAAAAACACTTTTTCCGCATCCAAGCGGTATAAAGACGCTTGTCAGATATAAACCAGCTTCACTTCTGGCCTGACTCGGTTTTATTCTTTTATATCAGGCCGGATGGCTTAGGAACCATTACAGTGGATGAAAAAACCCGGTTTGAGGATATTAAGATACGCCTCTGGAATCTTCTTGCCTATCAAATCACTCGTTTCAGGTATGAATTAGATACGATAAGCAAGCTCAATGACCATGGCAGGATTGCTCCACATCTTTTCTCGTCCTTTGTGCCCTCGTTGCTCATAAGTGGTTTTTTTTTTCGCAGATATTCTTTTCCTTTTGGGAGACCAGAAGGGGCACTTAAGGCAACGCTGTCCTTATTTGAAAGGGTAACTTGAATTTTAAAATTTGTTCTTTGATTGATTAACACCCTCTGTGCGATTTCTCTGCCATCTTTGCGGTTTGTGTGCAACTATTTTTTTGTCGCTGAAATTTATTACGTCACAGCTAAGTGGCCAGGTCGCTAAACATTAATCAAAATGGCGGCTTCCGTACTTGGAAGAATGTTGGAAGAAATTCGATGCTGGTCTTTTTTAGGGGTTAAAGGGTAAAGTGATGAATCTTGTTATCGTCGTTAGGTTATGATGAAGGATATTTCCACACCAGTTCCACCAGAGGAATTTAGAAAGGAAATCAGAAGCTGCCTCCATCAAGCCGCTCTTGTTAATTATACCCGGGTCTCGGCTTATGCAAAGATTGAAGGTAGGTCTTAACTTTTTTTCAGGAATTTGTTAATCGTTTGATAATTAATTTGTTAATCTCACTGCCGTCCGTTGAGCCCGCGATCAACCTCACGTGTTTGAGTTTCGCCTTACAGCACAGCCACCTCTTATAGCATCGGCAGCCACTCATGGAAAACATCATTGAAACCTTCTGGTGTATATTTAACGCGTAAAGTTGAAATAAGACATGAGTGAAGAACTTTACACAAACTGTTACAGTGCCTCTCTCTACTCAGCGGTGTAACGGCCAACAACAACATGTAAGGGATAGCTTACCAGCTGTCCTTCCTTTTCGGCGAAGCCCGTCGCGCAAGTCAAAAGGACTTTTCGAGCGCCTCACTCCAAAAGCTTCCTGCGGCGCGCTAACATCAATTTTTTTTCACTGTTTGTTATTCGCGCGAAGGACTTCGGCGCAGAAGAGGAACTGCTCGTAGTCTATGTAAGGAAAACCTGAGAAAATGCTTGGATGGGGAGGAGAGGAGTTTGACATGGATGGACTGGTTCCCGTCTAAGGGTGGGGAGGGGTAGCAATGTTCTTCGTCCTTCGACGCTACAGTAACAGGGATAACTCCACGCTCCACTCGCCTTGTATACAGAACAACAACAAAATGTATCCTAACGTTTACCTTCTAGAGTCATCCGGAAATCACGTGTCACCTGAGACTAAACTGAATGACATCATGCATCTGGCGGAACTGTGTATTGATTTACTCCATCAGAATGAAGAACATCATGCTGAGGTATGGAGGTATATGGGCGTTAACCGAATGGCATCTTGTTCCTCAAATTTTTATTTATTTTTCTTGTTTTCATTTTTACCAACTCAGTGGAGTCAGAATACTCGTTCCAAGCTCCTTACTTGATCATTATGCGGCCAATGTACGCAGAGCATTCGTTTATCTTTTCCTTCAAATTGTTTATTTTTCTTTATGTCCAGGCGTTGGCTTGGGTTTCCGACCTGATGGTAGAACATCAGGAAATCTTCTGGTCTCTGTTCACTGTTGATATGGATGCTGCTCTGGCTGCACAGCTTCCTGACACATGGGAGAGTTTTCAGCTGTTTCAACTGTTAAATGAATATCTCTGTAATGATAGTAAGTAACAGTCAACGTTTAAAACCTGGGCCCAGTTGTACGAAGGCCGGTTACTGCTAACCTAGGCTAAACTTTAATCCGGGTTTCGTTCTTCCTTTGTACAAAAACCTTCTCGGGAAAGTTTTCTCTTTTCTTTTAAAACATCCAATAATCAAATTCTACACATTTTTTTTGTTAAAGCCTTCAGATCTGATATCAGATTTCACACTAATCCTGGGTTATCTTAACCCAGCTTTGAACAACCCGGCCCTGAACAACAAGAACGCTATGAATGAGAAAAGAAACCCCTAACCTTTTGATTCCTTGGAGTGACTAGCATCTAATTTCTCCTTAAAATATCCCCCCTGAATCACAACTTAAGCTCACCGGAATAAAGGAAATTATCACCAACTGAAAAAGGGCTTGATTGTTATACAAATTCTCCTTGTCAGCACTTTAGGAAATCTATAGAGAGAAGTATGGAAAACAGGCATACTGATGTTAGAGTGTAAATGGTGCAAAGATTCCAAGACATGTATCACTGTGATTTAAGGCTTTCCAATGATGGAGTGGGCTCGCGAAAACTCGCCTTCTTTAAACGGAAAAAACACAATAGCGGTCAACTTGATTTGACGAATCTTTTGCAAGGGAGGGGCGCTTCTTGAAAATTTAAGATGTTGAAAGGGTTACCTATTCAAGGAGAGGTGCTGATGTAAGGATTCGCAGTATGCGTGTCTTATTTTGCTATGTTCTCTCCTTCTGTCTAGCCAACCTCAATCGTGGGAAATTCCATCGTCATTTACGAGATATGTTCGCTCCTCTTGTTATTCGATATATTGATCTGATGGAGTCGTCCATTGCGCAGTCACTGCACAAGGGATTTCAAAAAGAGAACTGGACTCCCCTCAGGTTAGAGCCGTGACAGTTTTAGACTTGTGCGAAATTTTTTGTGAACAGTAATCTTATTTATTCTGTATCCCTTTTTGTAGAGAGGGGTGCCGTGCCTCGGAGGACCTGTTCTGGAAGTTGACTGTACTGCAACAGTTCATTGCGGAACTAAACTGGCCCGATGAGGTGTTAGCGTCTCATCTTATGAAGAGACTTAAGTTGATGGCTTCAGATATGGTTCAGTCCTGTGTGAAAAGGTAATTTTATCGAATAATTGTTCAGTCAACTCTGATTAGAGCGGCTTGTTGTTCGCAAATTATGAAAACCAGGTTCTCACAGGAAAAAAAAACCCTTCCCTGAAGGAAAAAAAAACGCTTTGTGCAATTGGTTGGAGAAGAAATTCTTACTGTTGCTGATGTTTATAATTCTCTACAGTCTTTGCATGTAAACTTCATACGCCCTTTGGGATAAACTCCTTCCTCGACGGGTTATTTATGACCAATCCTGATCATCTTTATAACCTATTTTGTTTTTTATCCTTATGTGAGGTTATATTTTACAAAATCTGGCGAACATGATCAAGGCAACTCTTATCCTAACCTTTATACTCTCGTTGCTCTCAGAACGAAGGCCGCGTTTGACAAATGGCTGAAACAAACCAGTTTCAGTCTGGAACTACTCGTACCCAGGACCGTCTGTGTCATGCTCAACGTCGTCATACAGGCTAAGAAACAGGTAAATCCTGTTTAGAATCCCGTTCTTAAAGATTCAGGTCGCGCAAAACGTTTTTATGCGCGTTACAAGATGAGACCCATTGCATGTCAGTGTTAGTCTAAGGACTTCGTACAAACTCATGGTCAGCGATAACGTTTTGGTGTCCTAGAGTGCTCTAATTCCCTTTGTTTAGTGGACGTTTTGTTATTTCTTATGTCAAGTCGTGAGTGTTGTTTTGGCTATTTTTCCCAAATGAATTATGTTTTGAAGAGACCCTTCAATGAAAGGTGACAGGAGGTTTGACTTGGGCGTAAATTAGAGAAGTCTTTGATTGAGAATTAAAAGTAAAGTTAGATTGCTTTGCTTTTATTTATTACATCCCATGATTGGACCAGAGAATCCTTGCCACCCTAGTTATTGTGACCAACAGGGGTTTGGTTCTAGGACACTCAGTCGAAATGCGTCCAAAGCGAACTGTTAATTCAGTTTTTAAGATAATTATACCACTATCGTGAACTGGTTAGGAAAATTGAAATTGTACCAGAGGACAATAAAGGTTCAATAAAATGTTTAAAAATCTCGTGAGTTAAAAATATTACCTCTGTTGATATTTATAGTCCAGATTCCTTTGTGCGAGGGAAGAGTCCGAGAGTTGCGAGGTAAATAAATGGATATATATCATTTCTATTTTAGCGTCGAAAATGGCGAGTTTTACACTAGTGTTGTTTTAGAACGCTTTGAGATTGATAAGAAATCTACTGTGTGATACAAAACTTAAATTCATTCAGTTCTTGGTTACTCGCACTTTTCCTTTCTTGAGCCCACTTTTGTTTCCTTGAGTTTCCATCAGCTCCGTGTTGTGATTACCTTGGTCTCGGGTTTACAGACAATACCTAAAAAAGTGGTATTTCTTTATTGTATTGAACAGATTTCCTTTCTCGTTTTATTTTACAGTATCGGTATCACTCAGATGTCAACATCTTTCTAAAGGATGTTATCCAAGAGATGTTTTCATCGTTTATTTCCAAGGTTTGCAAGACGTTATAAGATTCCTTTTTTTTAAATTTATTCTCATGTTTTGTTACACAGGAAACTGTTGTAATCTTGTCTTTGCTCCTTCCATTTTAATTTAAATCCGTGTTCATTTATCTTTTAGCTGAACACTGTGTTGGAATCGTTGTTGTCAAAGGTGGCACGTTATGACCAGGGATCCATACTTGCTCCGATGTTCTCTCTGAGGGTATGTTCATTTTTATTTCACCGCGGAGACTTGGTATCTTTCTGGCCTATTAGTGTTAATGCGTTAAACACCTGATCGCCGAAGTTGGAGTTCTCGAGAAAGACACGATACTTTTACTTCGCCGTTCTTCGCGCGAGAGTACAGAGAAATTTTCAGATGACTGTCAAAAGTAATCCGACCAGCTTTGCTTTGGTTTCGCTTTGCGTCGCTTGTTTTTTAATTCAGAAAACTTGCGTCAATTTTTTCAACCGATTACATTCAAAACTAAAATCAATTGCGCCTTTGTCACTTGCGTTTTCCCGCGCTTCAAGAAGTCTGCTTGTTTTTCTTTCAAGTTCTCATCTGTCGGTAAACCCTGAAAACCCCAAAGAGTGACCAGCATCTATATCACTCTTGAATCACACATTGAGGTCCTGAGAATGAAGGAACTGATTAACCCTTTAACTCCTAAGATCTCATTAGTAATTCTCCTTACTGTCTGTCATACAATTCTTCTGATGTAAATTTGGTATTGGATCAATTAATAATCCTTTAATTGATATTTTACTTTATTCTCATCACTTCTATGCTTGATATTGTATTGATATTGTAAGGAGAAATTCTTTCTTGGTCACTCATGGGAGATAAAGGGTTAAGAAGAACTTGAACACATCCGATTTTGAGGCTGGTTTATTTTCAGTACATTGACTTCTCTATGAATTCATAATTATTTTCATTTGAATCACATCCAATATACCACAGACTTATATAGGTATTTATATTCCTAGACACTTAATGAATCTAAACTTATATATAGATATTTTAATTACCATAGTATTGTTTATTTAACTATTGTAAAAAAATTTTATAAATTAGTATTAAGCGGGTCCACATCAGCTACGGCGGCCTGACTCTCAACCTGTATTAACAAATAAATTATGTTAATTTATGTTATGTTATGATTGTTAAGCAAATTCTCGTTGCCGTATGTTGTTGTTCGTATAGAGAACAGTGTGGAGAATATGCATACTGATGTTAGGGTGTAAAGGGTGAAAAAGTCAATCCTTCAACCACGCTACTTCCGTAATTTGCCCAAAAATGCCCGAGTCTACATTTGCTTTTTACAGAACCAAATGGTTTTCGTCTTAAAAATTTGCTTTCCTCGCTTACGTTTCCATTATATGGAATATATACTGTTTTTCATTGTACCACGTTTTTAATGTGTGTGATTCTGTTTTCAGAATCCTGGTACAGAACTTGAAGAATCCTACTTGAATTTTGTCAAACTTAATTTAGAAAGTTTCAGAGATTACTTGAACGACGAGAAAATGAAAAAGCAGTTAATAAAGGTCAGTTAAAAGCTTAGCATATAATTTATACAATTTTAAGGCAGAGATATACAGTAATATGCTTCTCCACCCTCGTTGTCCAGGATTACACACACTCTAAGTTTACCTCCTTTAGAATTTTCAGCGTTTGCTTTGATGCTTTCAGGACTGGTACACGTCCATAATAACGAAGATATTTGACTGGCTATCGGACAGAATGAACATGGCGTTACACCAGTACCAGGTCCAGACTCTTCACGCACTTGCGGCGGTAAGTAATGTCACGCAACTCATCCCACATAATTTATGTCACGTAACGTTATGCATATCTCCCTGTTCTTTCTTTTCGAGCGATTTTCTTTACAGAACTTTTTGGAAAGAGATTGTTTAGTGTGAGCGTGGTGGTTACAAACAATCCTTTTTAATCGATTATAATTTCTAACTATTCAATTTTCATTTTTCAATCTATTTAATCATTTGATCACCTGCTTTTTTTGTACTGTAGCAGTTAGCTATTTTGAATTTTCTAAGCAAGCTTGCAAAAATTTCCAGGAGCTCCCGCAGTTTGTCAACGAGGACTTATCGTCAAGCCGAGCCATTTATTCCCGCACATACAAAACCATGTTTTCTCGGATCCGAATGGAGGACGCCATGTTAAAGGGTCAAAGCATCTACGGCGCAGAGGATCAGTCTTACCCCGGAGAGGATGGGGAAGATGACGGCAAGGAGACTGAGTCGAGTGACGAAGAAGCACTCATTAGATTGGAGACTGGAAACTAGTGTTTTGTTGGAAATGTTGAGAAACGCTTTGTAATCAGATAACTAATAGTTTATTAAGATAATTTACGCTTAAGTATTGGCGTAAACTATAATAAATTAAAATATGTTATTATTATTATTATTATTATTATTATTAAGCAACATAAAAATTTTCTGTATGTTTTATGATAGTTCAAAAATTTGTCAGATGAAAGTATTGGTAAATAGATGAATGAGATAAGGTGCCAGGAAGACTGTGGTGCTGCGTTGGTGAAGGATTTTATAGGGCAATTCGGTTTTATCAACTGAGTCGATAATGTAAATTGGCCGCCGTACAGAGTTTCTAAAGCGGACGTTTCGAGCGTGAGTCTTTCGTCAAATCGGGCTTAGGGTTAACACTTAAAAAAACTCTTTACGGTGGCCAATGAACATCATCATCTCAGTTAGTAAAACCAAATTATAGTAGTAAATAGAGTTATTTCAGAAATCCCAAGTCAAGAAGTAAGAGGTATTATTTAGCCTCAAATAAGTAAGTTATTTGTTCTTAATCTTGGCCAAGCTTTAGAAGTTACAAGCTTCGAGAATTGTTCTTTCCGCGGTGAAGAAAGTAAAGTAAATATACTGTAGTCTTGATAGCCTAAGAGGAAACTGTTCACAGGAAAAGGAAAAAAGGATATTCAATAATGAATTACACGCCTATATCTTGTTTTGAAGGAAAGAATTAATTCACTCGTTTGTCGTGTGGAAAGGAAAAACATTGAGTATGTCTGGGCTTGGGATCCGCGCCTTGAGTGCCACTTTGTTGTTCACACCACATTATGACGTCATCTGTGATACATAACTGAACAGAAGCAAGGCAACATGGAATCTACATGTCAAGTAGATGGCTATAAGCGTAACTAATCAGACTGTAGCTTTTACGATACACCACTTGTAGATTTCTAATAACGCGTGATATATCATGGGTGAGAGAGAGAGGGAGATAGAGGGGGAGAGAGAGAAAACTTCCAATTTATCTGAAGTAAACGCACACAGTGGTTTATTTTCCCTAAGCTGCATTGGTTAACGCACACTGTAGTCTCCTTCGAAGCCATTGTTTTGTCTCGTCACGCAACGCCCTCTCTCCCGCGTTGGAGAGAGACCGTTGCGTGACAAGAGCGAACAACGGCTGCGAAGGAGGAACGTTAGCATGCGGGACCTCATTATAAGCATTTGGTAACCAGCGCTTCTTCGCCCGTACGAACGTATGAGACCTTCAGGAACACGAGCCAACGAGGGGTGCGTACGGGGTCTGGTACAACTAATTAGTGCCAGATTCCCTGCAAACCTCACGCTGACTTGTCTTGCAAGGCAAACCCGATCTCGGACCTCTCAGGGGTGGGCTGAGATTCATCATGCGCCTATAACCTTAAAATAGACACATGCTACTGGTTCTAATTTTAAATTTGGCTGTTTCACCATACAAAGCAATGAAGCGTTCAGAGTTAGAGTCAAGGTAAGCTTATTTATTTAATGCGCTGATGTGTTCATGTGTTTCTCATCAATTTTCCGATTCACATTTCAACGCTCTTTGTAACTAGAGCCGCTCTTACAGAGACCATTATTATATTTATTAATATTCTGACACAACATGAATTGCGATAGAAGGACATCGTTCTCGATAAATTCCCTCTTTTTTGAAAGTTTTCTTCGTATCCCTCGGAGAAAAAATTTCTGACGCATTAACATCAGTACTTCTGCCGTGTTGAGTCAAATTCGTTTCATTCATATCTATCCATCAGCTGGATAACAATCAAACCGCTTGTGTGAACTTAGTTAAATATACATGCCCAATTTGTGCCCAAAAACGTCATGAGAAGTTTACAAATGTTAACTTCATGTACGTATTGCTTTTCACGCGCGGGGTCAGTTGCCTTCGGCAAAACAAGTTTTCAAATTCAGAAAGATGGTATACATCGTTAGTGTTCCCAATGTAAACAATGGGTGAAATAAGGCCATTCGAAATTGAAAATCATATGAAATCTCCGTATGTCCCGGTTCGTCTAACGTTGTTTTCTTAGCCGTCCTAAGAAGCTTAAGATTTTTCAGAGTAAGTTGTAACGCAGAGTATATACAAATCGCACAGTATTGCTAAATTTCAAATTAATTCAAGGCGGAGAAATCTAGTCTGTTTGAAAATTCAACCTTGTGCGCTTAATTTGTGGAGAAGATGATGAGCGATTGATTTTCAGGTTCCTACACGGTTTTTTTTTTGTTCCTATTCTGTACAGATCGAACTTAATCTTTATACTTGGTAATCGTTTTTCCCTCTTCGGTTCATCAAATTTTTTTTCATTCATTTGACTTCTATTTTACAAACGTTTTTACGTCTTTCTTGCAATAGCTATTCGCATTTATCTTTGTTTTCGAGAGAAAGTCTTATTTCAGTTTCGTAATTTTGGTTTCATCAGTCATGCGACCAGAATATCAAACACGACAAGCTTCTTGTGAAAAATGGTAAAAAATAAATTTAGAAACAATTTTCCCGCTTTACAAAACTAGAATGTTTTGCACTAGATATTCAAAGCCAGACCATTTCAACCTCGAAAAAATCTTAGATTTTGGCATAGATTTGTTTGATTTAAACTGATCATAGTCTGAAAAATAAAATGATGAACTCAATTTTAGGCCTTTAACTTCTATAATCTTACTTAGTCGCCTTTGCAAATGTTTCAAATATGACAGTAAATATTTTTAGAGAATGAAGTGTTGCGTCAATTTGACACCGTCCAGCTGATAAGTTTCTTTATTCTCCAAAACTGTTAGCTGAAGAATATATTGATATTGCAAGGAGAAATTGCACGTTAAATAATTCTTAAGTGTCAGAGTCTGGGAGTGAAAGAGTAAAAGCAGATACGCAATGTATGAACGGGAAATTCAAATTTTTTAATCTGAAATTTAAAAAATAAAAAAAAAGAACATGAAGATGCCATGATTTTTACTTAAATTACGGGGAGGTAAGAAAGCGACGTAGTCTTGTTTCACGTTTTTTAAACGATTTTTGTGTCGGCAATAAAGCTTTTAATTTTTGTTCACTCTTGTCAGATTGTCAGTCATCTCTGTTTTGCATGGAAAGCGTTATTTCCGTTTCTAAATCTCGGCTTCCTCAGTCATTCGATCAGAATACGAAACAGGATACACTTCCTTGTTCAAATATGGCGCAACAAAAATCAAATCCAAGAACAGCGATTGTTGATGTGGAAAGAAAAGCGCTACAATGTTGTTCAAAGCACGCAATGGGCGAAACAGAAAGTCATATTGATACATCTAAGACCAAGAGATGATCAACTGCAGTTAATAGTTTCTAATCTTAGACCGATCAAACTTAGCACTTTGTTCTCACACGAGTTGCTTACATTTATCTTTGTTTCTCGCCACTTCCGGTCTCATCACCCAAACAAAGCGTGTTTATTTTTAAAAAGGATAGTTACCAGCTAAAAAACTAAATTTAATAATAGTTATTCTTTTCCCGCTTTGAAAAAAAATTTTTTCTAGTTAAAATTTAGCAAATTCAGTGATGAAAGAGTTGTAATTCCATACAATCTGATAATACTTGTGGAGACCTTCCAAATTCGAATCAAGTTTTGATTTGATTGCAAAATATTTAAGGTCTGCATCATCTTAGCCTTTTGAAGTTATTATTAACAGCAATTCTTTCTTCTAGCTCCCTCACATTACCTTGCTAGTGGGAAGGGAGAATTCAATGTTGTATGAGGAAAAAAAACCCGGCTGATGAATATTCTCGTCGCTTGTTCACTGAGTAATATGTTGTTATTGGAAAGAGAAGCAACATGTTCGTCACTTCTGTAACTTGAAGGTTTTAAAAATCGGGCAAAGAGAAATTAAAACCACCAAACTCTTATCAATGATATGTGAGCTGCAATATTCATTGAGATATCTTATCTGTAATGCAAGTTCCATCCTTATTAGGTTTACAATGATTACTTTTAACCGATAATTTTCCTTTCACAAGAATGCAAATGTAACACGATTGGTTTTTGTAAACTTTGTCCTGTTTACTAGGGATAGAACTCTGACGAACGAGACTCAATTAAACTGTTTTATTTCGCTCTCGTATTCGCTTATTTACATCAGGTGTGTAAAAAGCTACTCTGCAAAATTTGTAAGAAATCACTCTCTTATACGATATTTTCTACATTTTGATTGGTTGTTGCCGAGTACTGATTTAAAAGGGTCATTCAAGGTTGCGTTGATTATGTAAACCATTCAATGTCCATAGTGTTCGCACTCATCATCTGACATGTGTCACGCACGAATCAAAGTCTCCGACACACTCCCCCATGCAACATTGCGTGCAAGGGTGCATTCACCTAGGAGACTTAACGAATTCAACTAAACGAAAAAGTTCTCTATAAATCAAACGTTTCAATTAAGTTCACAATTTTGAAGTTCAGTGAAAAGGAAATTGTGATTCATTGTTCATCTTCAGCAAGGTCCTGGATTCGGGCTCTGGCAGCAACTGCAGCATCCCGTCTCGGCCTGAAAACTAGTGCGTTTGGGTTCAAATCTGCTATGGGAGTGTCTGCATGTGTCTCACAAGCCTGGTCGCAGTTTAGCTCAAGAGGGTACAGGTGTTGAACAGGCCTCTCTAACATGCCGTTTGCTGTCTTGAGTTGAACTGCGCGGATGATTCCGTCCTTCTCGGGATAGGTTTTGTTTACTATCGCCAGTGGCCAACTCCCACGATTCTTGTTTTCGGTCTTTATAGATACGACATCTCCAACATTTGGCTGAAATTTGACCGCTTTGTGTGTCAGGTTGTGCCGCTCCCTTAAAGCTGTTAAATATTCTCTCTGCCACCGCCTCCAGAGATTGTTCTTGCAGTTCCTGAGGTATTTAGCGCGTTTGCGTAGGTCCAGGTCTTTGATCCTCCCTGTTTTCTCTTCTGGCAGCTGACTCGTTCGCTGAAACAGGAATGTTGACGGTGTAAGTGTTGGTAGCTCGACATCATCTTCTACATAACTTAATGGACGTCGATTGATTTGTGTTTCCACGTCGAGCAGTACCTCGCTCAGCTCAGTCCAGGTAAGTACACCTCCCCCAATGACTTTGTACATGGCGGACTTTACGACCCCAATCAACCGCTCGAATTGACCTCCCCACCAAGGAGCCCGGCTTAAGTCAAATTTCCAGGTTATGTCGTAATCTTCAAGGAGACTTTGGAGGCGCTCATCTCCTCGCAATTGGCGAAGCCATTTCGCAGCCTTGATAAAGGTGCCTCCATTGTCTGAGTAGATAACGCGCGGTCTGCCGCGGCGAGCGATGAGGCGTTTAAGACAGGTAATAAAATTGCTTGTCTCTAGATTAGACAATTATTCTAGGTGCACGGCTCTGGACAGGCTACACGTGAAGATAACCAAGTAAGCTTTCTCCTCGCCCTTCTTGCGTTGTTTATACTTGATAGGACCAGCAAAATCCGTGCCAATAACTTCGAAGGCTGTTCCACCATCTGTACGGTCTATAGGCAGTAGTCCAGGGGGTGGTACTGTTAAGGGTGAAGCTATGAAACGTTTACAGCCCCAACAAGCAGATCGCACAGACTTCACTAGCTGTCTCAGGGTTGGGATCCAGTACTGTTCACGAATCGCTGCCATGGTAAGGGCCACACCTCCATGTAAGGTTTCGACATGAATCCTCTGTACAAGCTTCCTCGTAAACACGGCGTCTGCTGGCAGGTACACTGGGTATTTTCCTTGAATTCTTCCATGACATTCGAGAATTCTATCTGCATTGGAAACGAGGTTGAGTTTCTGCCTGGTCTGTTCAAAGTGCAGTTTCTGTAAATCTTGAGACTGGACTCTTTCTATCCACCAGTTCTTGGTCTCTTGAATGTCTTCGCTAGTAAGAGGTCCCTTGCGCACCCTGTGAGTGGTGAACCGTCGCACCCAAGCTTGGATGCGAAGAGCTCGGTGTAAATCATGGCGTTCTAGGAGTTCGTCGAACACGTTCCGTTCTTGTTCAGGTTTCTCATTTGCTAGGCTTAGCACTTCTCGGATGACTTTTGCCTCTTCTTCTGAGGTTTCGGATTTCACGGTAACCGGGTTCTCTGGCCACATTTCAGGATTACGTAGCCACGCTGGGCCATTCCACCAAAGCTCTGCGTTAGTTACCTGGCCTCCTCGACTCGCCAGGTCCGCTGGGTTATCGGTAGTGGGCACGTGTCTCCACTGGATCTGTGGGTATTGTCTTGTTTTTTGCACGCGGTTAGAGACGAACTGTCGGTACTGACCATTTCCTACAATCCAGTGGAGGGCGACGGTGCTGTCCAGCCAACCGTAGATCATGGGTTCGGGTAGTTCTTTTAGAGCGTTTCTTACATTGATGACTAAATTGGTAGCCATGTGAGCGCTGACTAACTCCAACCTGGGGACGGTTAGTTCTCTCTTGGCTAATCTTGCTTTTGCTGCAACCAGGGTTTGAGTGATTCCATCTTCTTGGCGTACGACTGAATACACCACTGCTCCAACCCCATAAGTTGACGCATCCCCAAACACATGCAGCTCAGCGGAGATGACTGGTTGTTGATAAGGTGCTAAGGGTCTTCGAGTGGTTACTTCCGCCGGAAGCGACTGCTCCCGCCTTTGCCAGCGTATTTTCAGATTCTCTGGGATAGGTGCGTCCCATGATACTTTGCAGTCGCACGCTTCTCGGTAGATTTGCTTCCCTTGCAGTGTAATGGGGGACGCTAAGCCAAGGGGGTCGTACACTTTCGCTAGTTTGGCCAGTACTTCACGTTTTGTCGGTGCACTACTCGCGCTTGGGAACTGCACGGCGATAGTATCTTCGAATTTGTCCCATTTTACGCCCAATAGCTTTGACTCACTTGGCTTGACTAGTAACTGTTGTTTTGCATAAGACTGATCTTCGCTTGATGTGGCTTGGGCGCTGTTTTTACGTAAAGTAGGCTGGGCAACTTCCTCTCCTTGTGCAGGTTGGGTGTCATCTTCCAGCTGTGCATGATTCGAGTGCCATTTGTGTAACTCAAATGTGGCATCCTTCATAATTTTTTGCGTCACCTCCTTTCGTGCTTTTGCTTGCTGTACGTCTTGACCGCCTGTCAACAGGTCGTCTACGTAGAAACTTCGGCGTAGCCGCTCTACCTCCTCCGGGTATTTCTCCGCCCAGGTATCGAGATGGCATTCAAGAACCCCACCAAGTAGAAAGGGTGAGGGGGCGAGCCCAAAGAGTACTCTCGTGAACCGGAATGTCTGCACTTCTGAGTCCGAATCTGTCTGCCAGTGAAAACGGAGGGCATCTCGTTCACTCTCGTGAATCCGGATTTGTAAGAAGGCTTTCTTAATGTCTCCCGCTAGGACAACTGGGTAGGCTCTCTGCTGAATTAGAACGTCCCATAGTTTGTTTTGCAGCGCAGGCCCTGGGTACAGACAGTCATTCAGTGATGGTGAATCGGGTGTCGCTCGGGCAGAGGCGTCATAGACGATCCGCATCTTTGTAGTTTCAGCGGACTTGCGAATCACGCTCTTGTGAGGGATGTAGAACTCTTTCTGTGGCTGTGAAACAGGGGGTGCCTTTTCGATAACGCCTTCTGCCAGCTGTTCTTGAATTATCGCGTCGTACTGAGCCGTCAGTTCCTCGCGTTGAAGTTTTCTACTGAGGTTCTTGAGTCGTTTTAAGCTACCTTCCTTGTTTGAGGGCAGTTCTGCGTGGTTAGCTTTCCATGGGAGGGTGGTCTCGTACCAGCCTTCTGGCGAGCGTGTTAGGCGTTCCTTAAACTCATCAAATACCATCGACTGGTCATGATCTGCTATATCACGCAATCCCAAGACGTCCAATCTGCACAGATCTTCGTAGTTGCTTTGACTTGTCTGGGTGAGAAGCATGGTGTTTTTGTCAAACTCCTTTCCCGGGGACATCAGAAACCATCCGAATTTGGTGGGTTCTGCGATAGGGTCATTCTCTTGTCCAATTCTTGGCTTTGTTTCCGTTTTAATTCTGGCGTACTCCCCACTGCCAAGCACCACGTGAACCGGAAGAGACGCCAGGGGGTCATCATCGTAAACATTTACGCCTTTCAAGTGTGGGTACTTCTCAATTAGCGTGCGATAATTAGGGTTTTCAATAGACAACAACTCTGTCTTGTTCACTTTGGTAGCTTTGACGGACAGCGAAAATTGATGGTTGACAGATCTTAATTCGAGATCGTAGACTTCGAGTTTGGCAATTTTAGAGGACATCAGCATATCGATCGTTTTTGTCTGGACATCGGTTGGCTTTAAGCGAAGTAGTTCGATCAGCTTTGCCGACACGTACGAACTGCTAGCTCCAGAATCGATAAGCGCTCTGCATTTAATTCCGTTGACCTCAATGATGACTACTGGGAACAGACCCTCTACAGTTTGGTTTGTTGTCAAAGCGACTCCATGTGCTGGTGGCTGGTTAACTTGGTTTGTCGGGTTTGGTGTGTCACAAATCGACGTGTGGTGACGCTTATGGCAGCGTTGACAGGCTGATTTGCTCGGACAATAGAACGCGCGGTGGTTCCCAGACACACAATTGAAACATAAACGCTTATTTAGTAAAATTTGTCTGCGATCAGCGACATGTGTCACTCTTGTACATTCGATGGCTTTGTGATCTTCGCCGCAGTAAACGCAAGGCCAACAGCGGGGTTTACCATCGGCGTCCCGACGCGTGTGGTAAATTCTTGCTTGCTGGCGTACGTTCCGTTTTGTTGATTGCTGTTCTTGCTCACGCTCACGCTGGTTTATATCCATTGGATTTCTCCTGGTCCACAATCGAACTGCTTCTGAAAGTTTTGCAAAGTCCCAGCTTTCCCAGTCGGGGTCGGTCCGGACGAGATCTCCGCGGATCGCTGGCAATTTGTCTAGTGTCATAGACACCGCCCCATTGACTTGTTCCAGTTTGTTTAGTGTCTGCAGGGCTTGCACACAGTACGTTAGCTTTTCGCTAAATTCACCAATTTTTCTCGGGTTTGGGCTTGATATTGAGGGGAGATCCAGAATCTCTTTGATGTAAGCTTTGACGATTTCTGACTCCTTTCCAAACCTCTCGCTTAGGATACTCTTCACCCGATTGTATTCCTCAGCCGTGAAGGGCAACGCCTCTATTGCTCTTTTCACTTTGACATCCAGTAGTTCTCGAAGGTAGGTAAATTTCGTGATCGGTTGAGCGCCCGTTTTATCGATTGCTTCTGTGAACTGTCCCCAAAATCGTGGCCAGTCCATATAGGTACCGTCAAACTTCGTTATCATCAGTTTAGGCAGCTTGGCTTGTATGTCGCTTGGCGTCGTCGTCGCTTGTTGGGGGTGTGGCTCAACTTGGATTTCTGCCTGCATCTCTATCTTCGCTTTGTGAAACTTAAGTTCTTCTTGCTTGACAATTGCTTCTGCTTCTCTTTTGCGGTCGTCGATCCATGTCCACATTTTATCCACTTCGCAATCCGCTTTGCCAGTTGTGCGTTGATTCCGCTATTCCACGCCTCGATGTCGGCAATTTTTTCTTTTGCACCTAGTTTTTTCGCTTCTACTTCTATCCGCATTCGATTTAGTTATTTACTGAGGGACTGCAGGGTGGACAAATGTCTTTCGATCGCTTCTGACTTCCCTGTTTCTACGATGGTGTTCGTTTTACCAATGCTCATTATAAGCTGTGTTACTTTGATATCTAGATTCGCTTCAGTCGCTTCCATCTCCGCAATCTTCGCACGGGCGGAAAATCAGGACTAAAATTATACTCACAACAGTTGTCCTTACTGTTATCCTTCAGAATTGTCCCGTCGGAGGTGCCACGTTTTGTAAACTTTGTCCTGTTTACTAGGGATAGAACTCTGACGAACGAGACTCAATTAAACTGTTTTATTTCGCTCTCGTATTCGCTTATTTACATCAGGTGTGTAAAAAGCTACTCTGCAAAATTTGTAAGAAATCACTCTCTTATACGATATTTTCTTCATTTTGATTGGTTGTTGCCGAGTACTGATTTAAAAGGGTCATTCAAGGTTGCGTTGATTATGTAAACCATTCAATGTCCATAGTGTTCGCACTCATCATCTGACATGTGTCACGCACGAATCAAAGTCTCCGACATGGTAAGTTAACCGCTGTTCTACTGGTGATAATTTTTTGAAAGCTGTATCCAAATCTGCTCTACGATTATTGTGATTTGAACCCAGATGATACACTTGTGACTGGTGTGAAAAAAAGAATGAAAAAGGAACGTTGCGCTCAGACATTTGTGAGAAGGAAGACAACCACAAATTCCCTAAAAAACACTTTATAAACTTATGAAAGTTTTACTTTTCTTAATATTTTTTACCGTTGATTCTTTCTGACGACAACAGACAGAAGAGAGCCGTTATGAGTGAGGCTGCAGAAATCCTAAAATCAGTCCAGATAGGTCTAAATGTCGTCATATTTCTTCTGAACACTGATCGTGGCCTACAAGCGACTGAGTTATGTAATGAATGTGTGATTCTACTTCAAAACCTTGGCTCTGATAGTCACCTTGATATCTCCGATGTACTATTCAATGCATACTACGCCATCTCTGGTTACACAGATGCGGAAAGACATGCCGCCAAACTTCTTGAAACGTTCCGCTATGCTGGGGGACTAATCGGAAAAATGGGAGACAAATGTTATGCACAAAGCCGGTTTGTAAAGGCGAAACAACTCTTTAAAGGCGAACTCACCATCATGAAAACGATTGATGACAAAAGAAAAGAAGTAATGGCTTATGGAAGACTTGGAATTGTCTGTGCTAGCCTCAGAGAATATCAGAAAGCTAACGAATATCAAGAGAAAGCACTTTCCATCGCGATAGAAATCAGCGACAGAGAAGGAGAAGGAATAGCATACGGGAACCTCGGAAGTGTGTTTCATTCCCTTGGCGAATATCAGAAGGCTAAAGAATATAACGAGAAAGCACTTGCCATCGCGATAGAAATTGGCGACAGAAAAGTAGAAGGAACAGCATACGGGAACCTCGGAAGTGTGTTTTATTCCCTTGGCGAATATCAGAAGGCTAAAGAATATTACGAGAAAGCACTTGCCATCGCGATAGAAATTGGCGACAGAAAAGAAGAAGGAACAGCATACGGGAACCTCGGAAGTGTGTTTCATTCCCTTGGCGAATATCAGAAGGCTAAAGAATATTTCGAGAAAGCACTTGCCATCGCGATAGAAATTGACGACAGAAAAGAAGAAGGAACAGCATACGGGAACCTCGGAATTGTGTTTCATTTCCTTGGCGAAGATCAGAAGGCTAAAGAATATCACGAGAAAGCACTTGTCATCGCGATAGAAATTGGTGACAGAAAAAAAGAAGGAACAACATACGGGAACCTCGGAAGTGTGTTTTATTCCCTTGGCGAATATCAGAAGGCTAAAGAATATTTCGAGAAAGCACTTGCCATCGCGATAGAAATTGGCAACAGAAAAGGAGAAGGAACAGCATACGGGAACCTCGGAAGTGTGTTTCATTCCCTTGGCGAATATCAGAAGGCTAAAGAATATCAAGAGAAAGCACTTGCTATCGTGATAGAAATTGGCGGCAGAAAAGTAGAAGGAACAGTGTACAGGAACCTCGGAATTGTGTTTCATTCCACAGGCGAATATCAGAAGGCTAAAGAATATCACAAGAAAGAACTTGCCATCGCGATAGAAATTGGCGACAGAAAGGAAGAAGGAACAGCATATGGGAACCTCGGAAGTGTGTTTTATTCCCATGACGAATATCAGAAGGCTAAAGAATATCACGAGAAAGCACTTGCCATCGCGAAAGAAATTGGCGACAGAAAGGAAGAAGGAACAGCATATGGGAACCTCGGAAGTGTGTTTCATTCCCTTGGCGAATATCAGAAGGCTAAAGAATATAACGAGAAAGCACTTGCCATCGCGATAGAAATTGGCGACAGAAAGGAAGAAGGAACAGCATACGGGAACCTCGGAAGTGTGTTTCATTCCCTTGGCGAATATCAGAAGGCTAAAGAATATAACGAGAAAGCACTTGCCATCGCGATAGAAATTGGCGACAGAAAGGAAGAAGGAACAGCATACGGGAACCTCGGAAGTTATTTTCATTCCCTTGGCGAATATCAGAAGGCTAAAGAATATCACGAGAAAGCACTTGCCATCGCGATAGAAACTGGCGACAGAAAAGGAGAAGGAACAGCATACGGGAACCTCGGAAGTGTGTTTCATTCCCTGAACGAATATCAGAAGTCTAAAGAATATAGCGAGAAAGCACTTGCCATCGCGATAGAAATTGGCGACAGAAAAGGAGAAGGAACAGCATACGGGAACCTCGGAAGTGTGTTTCATTCCCTGAACGAATATCAGAAGTCTAAAGAATATAGCGAGAAAGCACTTGCCATCGCGACAGAAATTGGCGACAGAAAAGTAGAAGGAACAGCATACGGGAACCTCGGAACTGTGTTTCATTCCCTTGGCGAATATCAGAAGGCTAAAGAATATAACGAGAAAGCACTTGCCATCGCGATAGAAATTGGCGACAGAAAAGGAGAAGGAACAGCATACAGGAACCTCGGAAGTGTGTTTTATTCCCTGAACGAATATCAGAAGTCTAAAGAATATAGCGAGAAAGCACTTGCCATCGCGATAGAAATTGGCGACAGAAAAGTAGAAGGAACAGCATACGGGAACCTCGTAAGTGTGTTTCATTCCCTTGGCGAATATCAGAAGGCTAAAGAATATAACGAGAAAGCACTTGCCATCGCGATAGAAATTGACGACAGAAAAGTAGAAGGAACAGCATACAGGAACCTCGGAAGTGTGTTTTCTTCCCTGAACGAATATCAGAAGTCTAAAGAATATAGCGAGAAAGCACTTGCCATCGCGATAGAAATTGGCGACAGAAAAGGAGAAGGAACAGCATACGGGAACCTCGGAGGTGTGTTTCATTCCCTTGGCGAATATCAGAAGGCTGAAGAATATCACGAGAAAACACTTGCCATCGCGATAGAAATTGGCGACAGAAAAGTAGAAGGAACAGCATACGGGAACCTCGGAGTTGTGTTTCATTCCCTTGGCGAATATCAGAAGGCTAAAGAATATCACGAGAAAGCACTTGCCATCGCGATAGAAATTGGCGACGGTGTTGAAGAAGGAAGAAGCTACGTGAACTTCGGAAAGTTGATTCAATCCTTTGGCGAAAATAAGAAGGCTAAAGAGTATGGAGAGAAAGGGCTTGCCATCGCAATAAAATTTGGCGACAGAAAAGGAGAATGTCTCGCACGCCTCCATCTTGGAACAATTTACCAAAATCTTAATCAAAATCGAGCAGCTAAAGAACATTTGGACAAAGCAGTCGGTATCAGTATAACACTTGGTGACAGAATACTAGAGGCCTATGCCACTGTAGGTTTGGCAGTTCTCTCTGCTTCTGTGAATGACAATCAGAAGGCAAAAGAGCATTGTGAGAAGGCGCTTACAATCACCAGAGAATGTGGCAATAGACGTTTAGAAGCTCATGTTTACCTAAACCTTGGAAGAGTATTCCAGTTGTTTGGTGAATATTGCAAGGCAGTAGATTATTTAGAGAAGGCTTGTTCCATAAGCAGCCATATTGGAAACAAATTTATTGAGTTTCACAGCCTTCTTAGTATTACTTTGGTAAAGATATTACAGTCAGAGGATGCGGAGGCAATTAAATATCTTCTTCAATGTATTGGAAAATATGAACAAATCCGAACTCTTCTGAAAGGAAACAGTGAACTTCAAATGTCTTTGTTGGAGGAATACGGTACTTTTCCCCACCAGTTATTAACTGATATCCATTGCAATGCTGGAAAATTTCGAGATGCTCTCTATGTTGAGGAGCTGGGACGAGCAAGAATCCTCACAGAATTCATGGCAGACAAGTACTTCGCTGAAAGTCACATCTCAGCTGATCCACGATCATGGTTCGGCATTGAAAACGTCGTGAAAAGAGAAAGTAACTGTGTTTTTTTGTACATTTCGTATAGAGATCGGCAAGTTCTTCTCTGGGTATTGAAAACAAATGGAGACATTTGCTTTCGAAACACAGACGAAATGAAAGTAGACACTCTTATTGCTGAGCAAGTTTGCGAAGTGGAAGGAATCTTCAAAAAGAGCGCCGCCTGCTTTGGTGTTTTACCGGCAGCGAACTGCGAAGACCGATCGCTGGATGACAACGTGACGATATCTCTTCGTGAAGAGAGCCAAGCAAATTTGCAAGGTGACGAAACCAAAGATACCGGAAGAAGTCATCATTTGTGCTACGAATGGATCTTCGCACCTGTGGCAGATTTACTAACAGAGCCCGAAATCATCATTGTACCGGATCGTTTTTCGTACCGAGTCCCATTTGCTGCCTTGCGTGATGGACCAGCCGGAAAGTATTTATCGGAGAAGTACAGAATACGCATCGTCCCTTCACTGACAACTCTCCGGCTAATTCAAGAATGTCCAGCAGACTATCACAGTCAAACTGATGCACTGGTTGCGGGTGATCCTACGGTTGGCAAAGTGCATTACAATGGACGTCTCACTGATATTACACCATTGTTCTGTGCAAATAAGGAAGCAGAGATAGTTGGTCAACTGCTGGGCGTTCAGCCTTTGTTAGGAAGTCGCGCAACAAAGCACGCGGTTCTTCAAGCAATACCCTCAGTGAGTCTGATACATCTTGCCGCACATGGAAATGCCAAAAGAGGAGAGATTGCTCTCTCTCCTGAACGTACTACTGACAGTATTCCACAAGAGGAAGACTACCTCCTAACAATGTCCGACATTGAAGGAGTTCAAGTGCGAGCTAAACTGGTGGTACTCAGCTGTTGTCACAGTGGGCGTGGACTGATTAAAAAGGAAGGAGTTATTGGAATCGCGCGAGCATTCTTAGCATCCGGTGCACGTTCAGTGTTGGTAGCATCGTGGGCTGTAGAAGACAAAGCAACAGCGAACCTCATGAAACATTTCTATAAACACCTTGTTCGTGGAGAAAGTGCCAGTGAATCTCTTCACCAGGCTGTACAATGGTTGAGAAGCAATGGTTTCCCCAAACCTTGCCAATGGGCTCCGTTTGTGCTGATGGGGGATAACGTGACATTTGATTTTATGAAAAAAGGGTAAGTTTGATTATAATGAGCAATTTTCTACGACAAACCGAATAGCACGCTTAACTTGTTCAGTTCACTCAATTGTCGTAATTTTGTCTGTTTGTTTTTGTCTTTGTCTTTCATCCATAAAATGCCAAGAAAAAGCAGTTGATTTTATCTAGTGCAGAGCCAGAAGATTTTGACGAATCGCTCTCTAAAATTGGCCTTGAATTGGAGTTTCTTTTGTATGTAATATACTCAGAAATAATTACTAAAGTCGATACGATGCTAGACGCTATGACGATGAAGGTAACTTTAGAAGCTAAGAAAGTTTACTTTATCCGTAAAAAATCAACAAAAATAACACTAAATTGACAATCTTGAAGTCACTTTCGTATCATGCATAGTATGTTCGACAGGTTTGGATAATCATAGCCAATGTCATTGAAGAAAAAAGTAATTTCTTTTATTGGAAGTCTGTTCCGTTTACTTTAAAGTTGAAATAGAGACAAATGTAAAATGTTTTTTTCTAGGAAAGAAGAACTCGAGGAAGACAGCAACGAGGCGGAGAAGAGACAGAGTGACTACTGATCCTACACAAAGATTCTTCTTCCTGTACATTGTCTTTCAATGGACACTGGTATCACTTGCGAAGACATTTTTTTTTAAATTTTCTTTTTAAGTCAAGAAATAAATTTTGCGTGCTTTTATAAGAAAGGCTTAATCGAAAGCCGGCGACATTGAAACCTGAAATTCAGCCGTTTGATCTATTAAGTATACTAGCAATAGGGAAATACAATAAATTGGGATAGGAAAACTGAACGCAGGAAATTAGTTTAATATTTAGAAATGTGACAAATTTGGCAAAGTTTCGTCAAGACTCAGAATTAATCCTTGATTTAAATCATTACGATCCTGTTTTCAATTCTCCCGTTGCATGCACACGTGATCATTAAAAAGTGATTAAGACTGTTCACAAGTGCAGGAGATGATAACGTAACAAACTAAGAGAAGAAGGAACAAAATGCGCTGAGATACTGAACACACAATCATATAGAAAAGAGAAGATAATTAAGTGAAAATCAGACAGAAAAGCGAACAATGTTTGAGATTTACCGCAATAATCAAACAGTGTTGGAAACAGGGCGCTATATAATAATCTAAAATTAAATGGGGAAGGGAACAAACAGAGTGCAATATACTAAATAAAAAGCATTAATAAATAGAGAAGAAGAGAAATAGTGAGCGATTTATTGAGATAAAATTAGGAGAAAAAATTGCGCGAGACACTAACGCCAAACAGAAGAGTGCAAACAGTTCACAGGTCATGAACGTGACAATCAGCCAGAATATCAATTGCAACGAATAGCGAGTTAGATATTAACTTGGAAATCAAACAGAGACGAGAAAAAGCTATGCGCAAGATACAACTGAACAAAACTACCAAACAGAGAGATGAAAAAACGTGCAGTGCGCAATATAATTGCAACAAACAAAGTGAAAAAGAACAAACAATGGATTGAACATTGACAAAAACGTCAGATTGGAAAGAAAAGGCACATTTATTGCACGAAACATTGAGGTAAAAGTCAGTACTGAGAAGACGTGAAGAAACAGTGCACAAGACACTGATGTTACAAACGGTAAAACCGTAACCATGCAAGAATAATTTTTTTAGCTGGGTGAGTTGAGGTGGGACACTGTGTAACTGATGTTTTCATTTTTGTAAAAGAAAAAGAGCCTAAACCTTAAAAAGAACGAAAATATCGTATTACTTTACTTCTGTAAGAGAGAGAAAAAAAACCTTCCAATTTGTCTGAAATAAACTCGCACATAGGTATTTCGTGGTCTATTGTCTATGTGGTCTGAATAATTATAAACAAAAATAAACTTACTTTACCTTTACGCAGAAAATGGAGCAACGCCTTTGGTGGGAGCATGGCAACAAGAATAAGTTAGTTGAATAAAAAATGCCCGTTGGTGCCGCGGGAATTAACAGCGCCGATTTGAAAGATAAATTTTTGTTCTAGAGTTTAGTGTTCAGCCATTGTCAAATTTTCCATTGTGATTCATAATGGACAAACGCTCGAAAAGTCAGCCTAGAAACTCTTTCCGGTGGCCAATTTACATTTTCAACTCAGGTGATGAAACCAAATTATCTTTTAGTTTCTTAACTTAGTTTATTAGTCAGCCGTTATCTTTTTTTCGATTATAATCTATCATATGGGGACGTTAGTTTAGCCCTTTAGGCAAATAGGGGTTATTGAAAAACATGTTTTACAAATTCAATCGTAAAACAGAATGTTTCGTTCTAAGGGCGTTCGTTTCTGACCGCCCCTCGCGCAAGTGGTTAGTAAGTCGTGTAGTTTGAAGAGTGATTCGTTATGGGGCGTAAGCTCAGCCCTTTAACCCTTTAACTCCCAAGATCTCATTAGTAATTCTCCTACTGTCTGCCAAATGATTCTCATTATGTTAGTTTGGAGAATTTGGTATCGGATCAATTAGTAATTCCATAATTGATATTTTTCTTTATTCTCATCACTTGTCTGCATGATATTGTATAGATATAGTGAGGAGAAATTCTGTCTTGGTCACTCACGGGAGTTAAAGGTTTAAGCTAGTTTAGCTAGTGGTTATTTTTATGTTTTTTTTAATTGACTTCAGTGCGCCAAGTTGCGACCGCTTTGGTCACCATGGCGAAAGATAACAAAATCCTAGCGACACCAAACACCAATACATTTATGGCATGTTCTTTCGTTTGACTCCAAAGAGTTACTATCATCTAATTTCTCTCCTCGAAATATCAGCCTTGAATCACACATTTAGGTCAGGATAGTGAAGGAAATGATCACTAACTAGATCTTACTCGGTGTAAAAGACACAGATGACGTAAAAGACAGACGAAAGAACGAGGAAAAATGGACAACAATTTTCCATCGGTTGTCGGGTAAATCGTTCATCCCGAAGGCTCCTTAATCCTGCATAGCAACTAATCTCATCAAGAACAGCTTAAAGTCAGAACCTGTTGAACGGTTCACTCATTTGGAGATATTGAGCATGTCGCTGGTGGTAAGATTATGCCGGTTTTCTAGGGGCGGGTCACTAAGTTCTGGAAATAATGCTCAGTGTACTCCTTCATCCTGATCGCCATGCAGGTGCCCTCTTTACATTTTATGGAGAAGGCGAATGTATCATGCATCGAGATGAAAAGGTTACGCATCCACGGGGAAGATCACCCAATCCTAGCAACGGAACAGAATGCGTTGTCCTCTCTGACGTCCGTGACTCTGCAGAATTCTACTTTGGATGGTAAGGAAATGTCCCCAAATCATTCGCAATTTTCCGCATCTTTTTTCAAGAGAGCACGCAAAAAAACTCTTGAAATCTGCCCAAACAATAACTTTAATTCTACTTTTAGCCTCTCTTAATTAACAGAAACCTTTGCTCAATATGATGCTGCAAATCGTTCGAAATTTGCACCGTTGCCTCTAACACGCGACGTGTACAAATCCCAGTTTAAGGCGGGAAAAAAATTCACGGTAGCGATGTAAGCGAAACATTCCTAACCTTATAAACTTGTGTAATGAACGCGCAGTTTTGACTTTAAACCAAAGCTTTTCATAATTTTTCTTTGTGCTTCATTGTGACCTCAACTAATCTTACACATAACATTAGTGACGGCACACCCTCAAGGCGCCTGGAGTTAATCTCGCACCCAGATCATACCGTGTAACTGTTACAACCGTTTGGCTGTGGAAGGTCTGGGTACGAGACTAGCCTGGAGTGCCTTCAAAGCACCTTTAGGCAAAAACGCCTCGATCGACTACAAGTAGTTGTTTTGGTTTGATTCATCACAACACGTCATCTAAAATTTGATATCATAATGAATTACTACTACTACTAACTTCCGATGCCAAAGAACAAACTCTCCTGTTTCTCTTTAAAGACAGTTTTCTATCTCTAAATTTAATCTTGGAGATTATTTTGGTAAAATATGCCATCTAAAAAACTACAAACTACATTCTTTGATTTCTACCTTCTTTCCTCACAATTATTGACTTAAATGGTATGGAAGTCAGCTTGATTCATTCGAAGCTTAAAGAGTGGTCGTCCATCAACAACTATTGTACTCACTCGTGGTTATCAGTTTGGAAACCATTTCTTTGCTTCATAATCTTCACTAAACAGAGGGGTAGTAACATCAGCCATCAAGTCCTCATCATTATTAATTGGTATATACCCCATTATTTGCATTACATGTTTACAATAATGTTCAATGATGTCAATATCATGGGGATGTACCTTCCATCGCCAACGATTCGCTGTTGCTGAAGCATCATCCATCATGAAAAAGTCCGGGGAACCCTCTATCAACATATCTTCTCGTTTTTTGGACGGATGGGTCGATTTGTTCAGCCATATTTTCACGTGATCGAGCACAGGCAACCCAGCAAAGTCGTACAAGCGTGACATCACTTTAAGTGGGTTCACTGCAAAATCTTCGTAACGCTGAACCAATATACGCCTGCGCCAGCTGAGAGGAAGGTTCTTCAGGAAAACTAGGTTATCTTCGCTTTGTTTACAATTCTGATAGCTAAACAAACGAAGTCCATCTTTACTTAACCGGCTGCTTCTGTCACTGGAAAAACCTATACTACGAGAAGACGGGATAACTGCACGAGGATCTTTTATAAGAAAAATAATTTGGCAGTTGGATTTCGATTTTCGACATGCTTGCAAAATATTCTTAATATCGTTTCCTGCGATGCGACTCATAAGAATTTTTGCAACGGTGACAGCATACTTATTACGACAAGTGGTTCCGAGAGATTTGTTCGTAAGAGGAAGACAAAGTTTTAAGTCCCATTTCGGGTCGGTCATTTCGTGCGGGCACAGGGGTGGCGAACCAATCGCACAACTTGCTCGGGAATGGCTTGGTTCTCGGTAGAAATGATCAAAATCTTCCAAAACAGCTTGACTGAAATTACACCGCAAAATGTTCGATAAAATGTTTATCATTAGGCTTGCATAGCGATCTTTGTTAGAGCCATTTTGTTTAGATATTCTCTCTACGGTTTGTAACGGCTCGTGTAGGTAAAAGACAGATGGATGATGATTGAAAATCTCTCCAGTTATTGTAGAACCAGATCTTCCATGAGCTATGACCAAAATGCTTCTTCTTCGTCCCTTTGAATCGAGGCGTTCGTTATGGAAATCCGCCCACTCTTGGATATCCGCACTTTCCTGGAAATCGTGCCTTTTGCGGGGATATGGGCTGAGACCTGAGCGCATTTCTTTGTACAAACGTGCAGCGAGAAATATGGTGGAAATAATGGCAATAATGACTGCTAAAACTCGTAAAGGGATACGTCGTCTGCACGAGCGCAGTGCCATCTTTAAAGAATCTTACGTGTCGTGAAAAAAAAAAGACTTGTAAGAAATATGAGTCTCACCGAAATCTTAAAAGGTCCAATTGTCTCGCAATGCTTGGAGAAACTCCATGACCCCATTTGAACAAATTCAAAGTGTCTCTATATTCTCTGTTTAATGTGTCTTGATTTGAGTCTAGACGGTTTTTCTTGTGTCAATAATCAATATGGCATTTAAAACCTAATGGACACTTTAACCAATCAAGTCCTAACTTCTTTGCCGCGCCGCAGTTTTGTTTTATTATTGTTATCATTTTTCTTTATCTCTGTAGCAGTCTGTGCCAGCTCATCTTGGAGGT